GATATGGTTCATTTGTAATAATACATCTTAATTTTAGTTGTAATTAAGTTTTTTCTACATAATAATAGTTGGTTAATTTAATTAACATGATGCTATATTATATTTTAGACTTTAAAGTTATAGTTTATATGCTGATAAGAACATTGATATGAGTCAGAAAATTTGATAAAATTTGGTTATAGTAACAAAACTATAGATATTCTTGGCCAAAAATTTTAATGTTCTTATAACTCAAAAATTTGCTCAAATCAGAATTCTCACTTACCATCACAAGTTTTATTATTATCAGCTAGCCTGTATCCTGACAAACATGAACAGGTGTAAGAACTATTAGAATTGTGACAGATTTGCTCACAAGCATGAACACCATTTATGCATTCATTATGATCTACATAATATTGTTAATAAAAAATAATTAAAAGTTTAATAATATTACCAGAGCATCCATGAGAATCATCATCAAGAGTATAACCATTGTTACATTGACAATAATATGATCCAACTTGATTGACACACACTTGAGCACATCCCCCATTGTTAGTGTCACATTCATTGATATCAGAACAAGTCAATCCATTTGATAATTGATAGCCTGGTTGACAATCACAGACATAACTACCATTAGTGTTATAACAGTTGTGTTCACATAGATTAGTACCATTTGTACACTCATTAATATCTGAGAAAGAAAACTATTAAATGCATAAAAAGCTAAGAATCTGACCAGCACAATCATATCCATCATTAATCAGTTGATATCCATTTCTACAGTTACACTGATAACTTCCAATAGTATTAACACACAACTGAGAACAGCCACCATTACTCAACAGACACTCATTTGTATCTATGACAAATATTTAAACCCAGCTCAGTAATACAAGATAAATGTTTCTACCAGCACATATTTTGTGATTGTCCATAAGATGATAACCAGTCATACAGAAGCAAAGATAAGACCCATTGGTATTTGTACAGTTCTGATTACAACCATGAGTGCCATAGACACATTCATCAATATCTACACCAAACATAAAGGATGACTAAGTAAAGTCTGGCAATCTGTTAACTTACCGTCACACATATGATTGTCAACATTAAGTGTGTAACTGCTATTACATGCACAATAATAGCTACCAACTGTATTGGTACACTGTTGCTCACATCCTCCATTGTTAATGCTACATTCATTGATATCTGTAATTATAAGTCTTTGCATGATGCAAATAAATACACAGCATAACAATAACCTGTACAATTGCTGATTGCATCTAAAGTAAATCCAGTACCACACAGACGATAATAGCTTCCAGCAGTGTTGTGACATGTCTGTTGACAACCACCATTATTGTCACTACACTCATTAATATCTATAAAGACATGATGCACACCAAGCATAATGCATGCCAGGATTCAGAAAAAGTGTACCTGAACAGAATTGTCTATTCAAAATTGTGAAGCCAGAATTACACAAGCAAGAGTAATTTCCAATAGTATTTGTACAGACCTGTTCACAGGCTCCATTATTGTTGCCACATTCATCAATGTCTATTATTAATATAAAATGTTTGAGCAATTTCCAAGACTTTTAATGGCAAACCTGAGCAATTATGTTTATCAGCATTTAAACTGTATCCATCATGACATGAACAATCATAAGACCCTTCTGTGTTTTGGCATATTTGAGCACATCCTCCACTAGAATTATTACACTCATTAATATCTAAACAATGAAAAAATAGATTTTATTACAATGAAGTAATACCATTGCAGCTAAGAAGATCATTGCTAAGGACATATCCAGATTGACAGTCACAGTAATAGCTTCCAACTGTATTTATACATATCTGATTGCAACCACTTGCTCCTAAACACTCATCAACATCTAATTTGTAATACTATACATCAACTGCAGTTTATTATTATAATAGATGTTACCTAAACAAGAGTGATTATTAGATGCTAAGTAGTATCCAGCATTACAATCACACTCATAGCTTCCAACAACATTGATACACTGCTGGCCACATCCTGATATTCCTTGTGAACATTCATTGATATCTAAGCAAGTTCATTAAAGGCATAATTTTTTAATAATGTTTACCAGAGCAAAATACACCATTCTTTAGTTGAAAACCAGAACTACAAGTACAGTAAAAGCTCCCAATTGTGTTTGTACATGAATGTTCACAGCCACCATTTTCAGTAGCGCATTCATTAATATCTAAAAATGCATGACATGTACTGTATTGAAGATACAATTTAACAGTTTAGAAGTTTAATAAAATTTAATTATTATCATATTGTTCCAATAATGCTTTGTGATCATTTATACCACAATTACATCTTTTCCTACATAGATCTATACCTGTGCAGTTTAATTTAATGGGATCAAAGTCATAGCCAGTACTACAGTCACATAGGTAACTTCCTGGTATATTTGTACAGGTATAATTGCAGCCACCATTATCAGTGAGACACTCATTGATATCTATATAAAACATTAGTCATTATAAAATAGTTTGAATTGCTTACCTGTGCAGTTATGTTCATCCTCTTCCAATATATAACCAGATTCACAAGAACAAATATAGCTACCAATAGTATTAGTACATAAACTGCTACATTGGCCATTATCAGTGTTACATTCATTAATGTCTGAAAATGGAAAATTGTGCAGCTTGTGAAATCATTTATTTACCCATGCAAGAATGACTATCACCACTCAATATATAACCAGTTGTACAAATGCAAGTATAACTTCCAATGGTATTAGAACAAGTTTGACTACAGCCACTAAGTCCCTCAGTACACTCATCAATGTCTAAGGTAGCAGACAATAAGCTGCTATAGTTGTAACAATGTCTGACCTATACATGTGTGACTATCATTGCTCAGCTGATATCCAGAATAGCAGCTACACTTGTAACTGCCAACAGTGTTAGTGCATATATGAGAGCATCCTGATGTACCTTGCTGACATTCATTAATATCTAAAATCATGATACACATTATAGATAATATAAATATATTTAATATTATTACCTCGACAAGTAACACCAGCTATATAGTATGAGTAGCAATACCTCAAATAGTAGGAATGCATGTAACAATCCACAAGTCTTGTTTCAGAGCCAGAACAATCAAAATACCCATAAACAAATGGCGAATTCTGGGGAGTATTAAAATGATTGTATCTATATGCCACAGACCCTAGAAGAATATATTCAATTAATATTTGAATGAATACTGTTTAATGATGTTACTATAAGAATAAAATCCTCCAAGTTGACTGCAGACTGTGTTTGCTTCAGTAGTGCCCCAATACCATCCACTACATAGATATGTCCAGGCATTGTTGTAACAAATTTGTACACTTCCTTGATTCTCTGTCTGTCCACCAACAAGTCTTACATCACCATCAGTGCAATTAACAAACTGAGTTGTTATGGCTACAACAAATATAATTGTTTAACAAAATTATTTTGTAATTTTAGCTTACATTGGCATTTGATGACAGCTTTTGTTGACTGTGAACAACTATACCCAGCTGTATTACTTAAGGAATACAAGCAATCCCAAATACTAGTTTCATTCCCATTGCAAGACACTGCATAAAGCCCTAGTGGCCAATATGTCTGAATCCCGATGTATTGATTGCTACCAGACCATGCACCTAAGATGCTATTTTTCACTATAATATTCACTTTACAGCTAACCATATGGTGAATATCCCAACTGAGAGCAAACTACAATAGCTTCTTTCTTTGTCCAATTACTATCACATATTGTGAACCAGGTATTATTCAAACAAACATCTACTACCCCAAACCCAGCA